TATTTAAAATTTAGAGAAAGGTTTATATGTATACTTTTACAAAAATTAAATTTAAGTAATTTTTTTATATAAATTTACATATTAAATTGAGGTGAGTTAACTCATTTGATTTATAAGTAACAGTAATGCAAGCTCTTATATATAGACATGTCCTATGACTGTTATACTAATTTAGCAAATATTCTTTATACATACAATATTTATACTATATATATTCAAATAAGCTCTTAGCATAATTACCACCCAAAATTAATAATGTGAATGACCACCATTATTATTATAGACTTCTTTGACACGGTCTACTTCACTTTTAACAAGATGTTTAAAATAATTTTGAGACAATACTTCCCATTCTTCTTTAACCATTCTTTCAAGCACATTAAGGTTTCTAGGTCTTGGACGATATTTTTGAAGCTTCTCTTCAATCTCAGACCAAAGGTTCTCAATAGGATTAAGGTCTGGGCTATACGGAGGCCATTTAAATGTTTTAATATGCTTATTAGCTAGATAGTTTTTAACAATATTGCCTCTATGAGCTGAGGCACTGTCATGTTGAAATATCTCATTACCATTGGGATATTGGTTCTGAAGCTTCAAAATGGCATAATGAATAAGCGTTCTACGATAGGATTTGCTTGTGATACTACTGTAAAGACGGATAAAAGGGCCAAGACCCCACCAAGAAAACATCCCCACATCATAATCCCTTTAGATTTGATAGCTAGAACAAGACAATCATCATTAAATTCTTTACCTGGCCTCCTCCATACATGCTGATATGAATTAGAATGGACTAAAGTAAAATACTTTTCATCTGACCAGAGAACATTCTTCCAGTTGGTAGTTGTCCAATTAAGATGCTTTTCTGCCCAATCTTTACGCTCTTTTTTAGTCTTATCACTAATAAAAGGCTTTACGTGGCCAACACGTGAGACCAGGTTAGCTTTTTGCGAAGAGTACGACTAATAGTTCTTTGAGAAATTATCTAAAACATATAAAATTTTAAAAAATAAAAAAAATAAAATAAATAAATAAATAAAAATTTAAATTAAAAATTATTATTACTTTGCCTTCTTGCTGTTCCAATACAGCTTGAATTTGTCTTTTAGTTATATGCCGATTACTTAAAACAAGTTGTGATAGACGATCTTGTGCCGATTCGTCTAAGATTAGTGGTCTTCCTCAATGATTCAGTAATATTTGAGATGGGTTTTCAAGTCTGTTTAGCACATTTCCAACTGTCTTGGGATCACATCTGACAAGTTTGGCAATTTCTTATATGACTTGCCTAATTTTCGAGCAGATATAATTTTTCCACGTTTCTTTTCAGTGAGTGTCATGATTTAAAGCTATAAAAGTGTTTCAATGAAATATATTTATATTTGTCAAATTTCTAATTAATAATTATGATTAATTTATTTAGCTCGATTAAAAAAAAACTTACCAAATAATTACAGTATAAACACGCAATGAGATTTGTAAATTATGCGTGCGGCATTAGAGTGTTCAAAAATACTAGTAAATCAAATATTAATCAGGGTCGCATATGATGAAAATCTGAATTTACTGCAGATAATATTAGCTTTTGGTATGCTTTTCTCTTGAGCTAGTACAATAATTAATGTCTAATTTTTTTAAAAAGATAGAGCAAATTGTATACTTTAATGTAACAAAGCTATTTTTTTCAATTTACACCATTTTATAGTATAAATAGTGTTAATTAAAAAAATAGCTCTGTTCATTAATATATACGATTTGCTCTATCTTTTTTTTTAAAAAAAATTAGAGATTAATTATTATACTAGCTCAAGAGAAAAGTGTACTGATAGTTGATACTATTTGTAGTAGATTCAGATTTTCATAAAAAATTTATTATATTAATGCGACTCTGAGTAATGTTTGATTTACTAGAATTTTGAATACCCTAATGCGGCATATATAAATTACAATAAAAAGTATGATTTTAATAAAACTTAAATTTTTAAGTACTATAATTATTTAATTACAAATTTACGTATAAGTTCACTATCCTATATATAGAATTCTAAGTTCAAGCACTCTACTCAATTCATTCTTTTGGGACCCATATCAAAAAACTTATAACCTTTTTATATTTATTTTATATTTCTATATTTAATATACTATTTCATTGCAGTTTAACATATGTTGTGAGGGGCTCCAGTCATCTGACCCTACAATTTTTTATTTTTTTATTTATTATTATCTATATTTTATTATTAGTTTTAGTATTATCAAATATATATTACTTAGCTTAGTTATCTGAGGGCTCCTTCTTCTGGATCAAATCAATAAGTCAGATAAATTCGCTTTAGCAAATTTATCTGCTTAATTTACTTTAATTGCCTTAGTAGATATAGTGAATTTATTCGCCTTAGCGAATAAATTCAAGAAAAAGTTGTATATTTTAAACTCTGTAAAAATATATAAAAAGCAGAGCCGCTCTTGCTCTGAAAAGAAGAAAAAAACCAAGTTAAGTAATACTTTGAAATAAATAATAGTAGAAGTGCTCCAGTAGTTTTATACTTATCTTGTTCCTTATAAAAAAACATTCGAATAGAAATATACATTGATCTAGTTATAATTGATAAACTGTTAAGAGTCTTGACCTTCGAAATTCAAGTAGAAATGTCTTTAAGTTCCCTAAAAATGATATTAACACAAGCCAAATTCATGTTCTCTTGTTTCTGTGGTTTCCTCTATACTTAAGTTAGAGAGAGAAAGAGAATTGATTAAAAACCCAAAAACCCTTTTTATAATAAAATATAATTGATCAAGCGTTGATCAAACGTCATTGTTACCTCAAATCGGCTGTAAATTGAAATTATGACTATACTTCATAACTATGTGATCCATGTGACGATCATTAAGAATCTTAATGATCGATGAGAATACTACAGCCTGGCACACTAAAAATTCAAGCCAAGAAACCACTTTTAGCTTCTTCTAGAAGTTTATCAAATACTGCTATAAGCACAAGACCAAGGTATACTTATCTTAGCCTTCAAATATGCTACAGCAAGACTTAACAAGACTTAGAGACTCGGATCAAGTCTCTCTGTGCCTCTTTTTGCCTGCCAAATCGAAGTCTTTAGAGTCTTCGAACAGAAGATTAGAAGTTGTAGTATGTAGATTTAGCTAGATTTAGCTTTAAAACCATTAAGTCACCTCTTTTCAACGTATATATACAAGAGCTAATCATTCTATAAAGCCGATGGTAAGTTTTTAGTTATAGTACTTCTAACTATTATGTGCATGCATATATACGTTCAAATCCTAGATCTGGCTAATCTACAAAATTTAAAAAGGTATTTAAACCCATTACGCTAAAAAATAGAATAAAAGATAAAATAAGAATAAAGTTCACCTGATTTGTTTTATTTATAGTATGCTTTTATAGAGGGTAATTTTATATATATGTTATATGATTGGTTAACAAAAAAACATGATGGTAACTATAAAGCGATTGTGCCTATACAGAGGTATAAATAATATAAAAAAGGTTGGTAAAAAAAAAAACTGTGATTATATTGAGGTTGTAACTATAGAGGAGGTGACTATAGAGGGGGATGACTGTATTGCATTAATCTTGCACAGTAATCGGAGAGAAATGGCAATCTAGCTTGTTCTGTAATTGGGAAAAAGTCCCAGATTTCAGCGCAGAGTTTAGTGGGATCATCTGGCAGTGGTTCGAGAACAGTAAGAAAATAGCTATCAGGAAGCTTTTCAAAGATAAAAATCTTTCGTAAAGCTAGTATAGTTGCTCAAGTAAGTTTATGATCTTGAATTGGTAGTGGAAAGGGGAGAATTTGTTGAATTGATTGATCTATTTTGAGTAGATCTTGAGATAGAGGGATAAGTAGTGTTGAGTAAGCCTCGTTGATCAAGCTGCGTAGATCTTCAAAACTAAGAGTACAGTTTATTT